TCAACTATTGTGTATGTTGGATGACCGAAATGTTAGAGTTGGTAATTTATATTATTATACTTTCATGTTAAATACTAAAATCTGATTGGTTTAGACACATTTAACAATCCGTAATATTACCCTCAGCGTTAGCAACACACTTTACAACGGGTAACATTACGAAAATATCACATGCGTTCAAATCATGCGCGTACGGTTCACCGTAGAATTCTCAAAACGTCGGTTGTGCGTTTGAAAGAAGCCGAATAAACGTCAATAAAAGCTTGCGTCCGATGTAGCTTACTTGAAAAAGACAAACGACAGACGAAACATCCTTGCGAGTGCAAACTTTAGGTGATAAAGGACTTTTTTGAGTAGCAAACAAATAATAAAGAGGTTGGTAAATCTTTTACGAAGCTTTCCTATTGAGAAAAATAGAAGCAGGGAGTTTGAAAGCTTTCTAAGCGTGAAGTTAACGACGATCTCCGAATTTTTTAATGACATCCGAAATCAGTAAGACATTCAGTATAATAAAATAAATAGTGCACGTTTTTGAGGGTAACAGTTGAAATTGACACCCCTCGGAAAACCATTGCCAACCTCCGCTGACGCGTCGGCGTCGGTTGACAATGGTTTTCCTTGGGATGTCAATTTCAACTGTTACCCTAAAAAACGTGCACTATTTATATATGACTGTTTCACTGGCAATAAATTTTTACTAAATCAACTAAATCAAAACAAATGCAATGGAAATATGATTACATATACGATCACAAGATCCAAGATATTTAAATATTATAATATCTCTTAAAAACGAGTTGTTAAAGATACCACTGCGAATAATAATGGATATAAATTAATTGATTTTTGTAGAAATAAGGAAATGTATATTGTAAATAGCCGTGTAGGCAACGACAGACTTCAAGAAGACTTGACTCTTAAACTTAGCAGTACTGTACGATATAGTTTTAGCCTTTGTGCATATTGTTTTGATTTGTTTATTGAGTTTCAAATTGTCAAACTTTTGGACTTGTATTCTCGTGTAAATAATGCCTTATCATTCTCTCTATGTAACTGTCGGAGTATAATTTTAAATGGTACGGGTATTGCAACTACTATTATAATAACGACTCTTATTTAAATAATTATTTTAATACAGTGTAATGGTTGAAAGTGCATCTTAAAAACAGTACATATACAATATTTGTAACCACTATTGATATAACGCTTCTGTTAAAATAACTATAACAATGGTGGTTGAGAATACATTTCAAAAACTGCACTTCCTTGCAGCAACTATATAAGGACTGTTATTGAAATAGTTAATGCATTTCAAAAACAACACTACTTTGCATCCACTACTGATGTAATATACATTTATGGACTGTTAAGAAGGGAAACACCAGTAATTACAGGTATCAGGTCTGAGTAGTGTGACACCCTACACAAACCTGATAATTGGTTATGTCTCACTTCTAAACAGTCCATAGTCGTTTTTTTTTATCCTGAAAAATCTGAATTATTAAGTAGAAAATATCAGTCAAACTTCTTGTGTTCTCCTACACACTGCTCAGATTCCATTCTTTCAAAATATATCAACAGACAAATCTGACGTCACCGTAAGAATTCATTGTTTACCGATCCCGCGTATATAAGTGATATCATTATAAATTTGAGTTATCTCGCTTACGAAACTTAATTTATTTTCATGAAAAGATGACAACACAGTTGTCATTCTGAATCCTCGCTTGCGCTATTTCATTGTCATCTGAAGGGAGAAAACACAGTTGTCACCGTTAGAGACATCTGGATTGTCTCCCCGCAATCGACATCTTTAATCCTATAATTCTGACGGATAAAAATAATCATTATTGAATAATTGCTTCAATATTGGTCATAATTTCATTTAATCACTATTGAAACACCCATTATTAAAATAAATATATTGATTAATTGATTTGTATATTATCAGTTGTAAGCAATGTGACCCAATCTCTCCATTGTTAACAGCATATACATATACATGTACAAATCTAAGTGAAGAATAAGAATTATCGTTGAGATTGTTGGAATTTTAATTTTCTTCAACAGATTTATTTTCTCACATGCAATAGAAGGTAATCTATGAGGAAAAATATACAAAAATATGTTTTTTTCAGCACTTGTAATAAGTGTTATTTCAATAGTGGTTACAATGTTTCAGCCACCATTGATAATTGTATTATTAGTGAACTTTTTTTTTTCGATTTAATAATAACAAGCATTACTGAGTCTATAAATACCAACAGTGTAAATGTCCTTATTTCCTGGTATTTAACACTACCATATTTGATAGGTATTTATATTTTGCATTTCTCTGTATACATGTAACATGGATCCTTATGGATGGAGCATCGCTTTTTTTTAGAATATTTCTTTCTACTTTCCGCAATAACCCAGTCGTTTGGATACGGTGAGTTACATTTTCAACTATGTTATAAAGGGGTGATTTTTTTTTTTGGGGGGGGGGGGGTATGGGCTTTAAAAGAATTGACTGTGATCATGCCCTGTGTATAATGGTGAACAAAATCACACATACTGGGATTTGTCATCCAAGTGGTCTCATTTCATGATTAATTGTTACTTTTTCTTTATTTCTTTACCAGGTTACCTTTCCATTTGAATTAAAAGTGCAATTCACTCCTTGAAATGTATTTGTCATCTCCTATGAACTTAAAATATGATACGATATTTGATGGTTTCGACTGTTATGTCTCCTTTTTTTCAATGCTTTGAATTTTGTATGTGTATAATGTTTTACTAAAGTAAGATTTACAAAGGAGATATATCTTAAAATAGTAGACCAAAATGATTAAATGATCAGGCTTAAAAATGAAAACAATTCATATCAGTACATTTATTTTAAAAAAGTTTGAAAAAATTACTGAAATCAAGGTTACATATACATGTTAAAGATTTTCAGATATTTTATCCGATATCTTCATACTTCAATCATTTGCGTAGGCGATTGTTTGAAGGTGCTCACATGAAAAAAATATATTACAAATACCCTTACTCTAATTCTCTCTGAGTGAACATATCTTTCTTAATTAGTGAGATATTGGTATGTTTGTACATGAATTCGTCGTGATGAAGACTTCTTAACTTCAAGAAAAGTCTTACCTTCAAAAAAAAATATGTAACTATTTAAATTATTTCAAAAGAATTTGAATAAAAATGAGCAATATTTTTTCAAACTTACGTCTATGTATTATAGTACTTTTTAAAAGTATGAACACTATGAGGAAGCTTAAACTTCATAAGCGTTTTACATGACATATTGTCGACCAAAACAAACTGTATAGGAATTAAAGTATTAAATTCACAGTATGAAAGAATTGTAGGAATATTTTTTTTTTGACTGCCACCCGGTAATTTTTAAAATTTTCAATATGAAATTTAAATCACCTTCCGACATATTTGTTTACTTGGAAATACAAACAAAATTAAATTAATAATCAGGAGCTTATAAGGAAATATTCATGATCCTTTCTTGTTTATATACAACTATTTTTTTTTTCTTATTTATACTTATGCTCAAAATGATAAAAGAAGAGCCTTTCTCTATTTTGTATCTGTGTTTTATTTATCTATTTCTTTATTTTCACTAAAAATATGAATATATACATCATGTGCACATGTATAAGAAAAATGACATCTTGATACCATTTTCTTTCTCATTTTTTTTTAAATATAAGAAAATCACTTTATCATGATAATCAGGGAATCTGCAAAAAAAAAAAAAGAAAGAAAAAAAGAAATAAATAAAAAATAAAATAAAATAAACTTAATCTCTGAAAATGTATAAAACAGGTTGGTGTTTTATAGCACATTGAATTACATGTATGTGAATAAATAGAATATCTGTAAATATATATATATATATATATATATATATATATATATATATATATATATATATATATATATATATATATATATATATATATATATATAAACCCCCCCCCCACTCTACCTGATATTTGTCTTTTTTTTCTTTTTTTCTTTTTTTTTGATAGAACGAATTTTTTTGCCTTCAATTATTATTATTGATTACAGGGCCTTTTAGAGCAGTACTAAGTAGAAGAGTTCAAAAGTAACAACAAAGAAGCGGGAATCTCATTCCATGCTTTTTAATTGGTCATACTATATGAAGAACCAGTTTACGAAAATAATATTTAGGATTTCAAATTAAGATTGTAAAATGATAAAACGAAATAATCAAAATAAAATCAACAATTATGACATAGTTTATAGTGGAAAATATATAAATGCAATCTTGTGCAGTATGTAGTATACTTACTCCAGTTATCAGGATAAGAAAAAGGTTAAATATGACAATGGGACTCTCCAAGTCAATGTCAATGTGCCATTTCCCAAATCAATGCGCCATATGGAATTTTATGGGACATGTATTGAAAATGGCAGATAAATTTGGACTTGATAAATGAACATATATTTTATTACACTGAAATAGATAAGTAGACACATATATACACGAAAAAAAAAACTGTTAAATTTGTCGACAGTAATCAAATGATACATGAGCATTAACCTTTTTTCTTCCATTGCTTTTCTGTAAATTACCGGTTAATGTCATTCCTGTGCAACTTCAATACCTATTATGCTACAATCACCTATGATGTGAAATTCTGAATAAAAATTAGCAGCCAGAGATCCATTCGTTTCTCTTCTGATGAGTGAGAGATACAAGACATGTCTGAAACAAAGTTCCAAAAAAGTTTCACACACACACACACACACATTCCCTCACACACACCCTCCGACTACACACACACAAAAGAAAAAGCAAAAACAAACACCATATACAACAAAGCAAGATTTACAATAATCTTAATGAACAATATGAAATATAAACAAAAATACCCTCTTTTATAAAAACAGTTTAACTGTCTTTTTTTGAAGAAGATTATCAAAGGATAAAGTCGCAAGTCAGATTTCAACACATCCGTGCCTTTACCATGCCTGTAGCACATTATATAGCATCCAATGCAATTGACCGAGACAAGTCAAAATGTACTAGAAACATCGAAATAGGAACACTTTCAAACATAAAAACGGTGTGGTGGAGAGTAGATCTCGGTGACATTTACAGCATCAATGTTCTATTCAAGAACTATGACGGCTATGGTGAGAATTTTTAACCAACGTGTTATTGTTTGATGTCAATTGTTGTATTAAATAAAAAGAGTAAAACAGTTTTTTTCTTAACTAAACCAGCCTTATTAATTCATGGGTTTTATTGATTTTATATATAAAAAAAACAAAAACAATGTTGATTTCTCAGAAGTAGGTAGGGAGAAAGCAAACATAAGATTTACTCAAAATTTACTTTAATATACAACAATTTAACATAACCATTTAGTGTTCATCAACATGTAATTAAATATCGTGCCAAACCTAAAGGAAATTACGTATATTTCTAAATTCATAGAATATTGCAAGGAATAGGATATGGATTTGTAATGATTTTTTTATGTTCAATACAGAAATGCGACAAAGAGGCCGTTTTGCGGGATTTTCCCTTTATTTATCAAATTCCAGTATTAGTGGAAACGAGATCTTGTGTTACAAGGATGAAGAACATCTACCGCCATTAAACTTTACAACTACATGCGCTGGATATGGACGATACGTCATATTTTACAATGAAAGACTGGATGAATATAAATATCCGGACGGATATCAAAGTTCGACAGTTACTGAATTGTGCGAAGTAATAGTAAATGGTAATAAGATTTTAGATCATTCTTCATATATTTGTAAAAGATCGCTCTCATATGCATGAAGCCTGTGCATGTTAATCAAGGTATCAACATTATGAAAAATAGTTATTCTGCCTATATTGAAATCAAACGTGAATTGTACTTAAAATAAGAAATATGACCATCAAGTAATAAATTAACTTGTCACAGTTACATAATATTTTTCATCTTGATGTTGATGTCTAAAATTGCTCTTAAAGTTAATGTACAGGATTTCAAATAACAATATAAAAGATTTCCTTACTATGCATGTCAAAGGATATTATAAGGATATTCTTGTTTTTTCTTGCATTATAAATTATTTTCAAACATTTCTTAATGTTTTCGTTCACCAAACTTCAGAGACAACATATTAACAAACTATAATTCATTTTATATTATACTAGCATATAGATGACTTAAACTCTATTTAAAAAGCACCTTTTTGTTTTTTAAAACAATTAAGACATACATGTATGCCCTTCTTTTCTTTCATACTATCTTATTACAATATACATTGATTAGGTTGTGGCGAAGCAGGTGCCTATGGAGAAAAATGTGATGAAAAATGTCCCAAGAACTGTCAAGAACAGAGGTGCAACATCATCAATGGAACTTGTGTTGGATGTTTACCAGGGTGGAATGGAACTTTTTGTGAAAAAAGTACTAGATCATAATTCAGTCGAGCCTCGGTAATTCGGATGCCAACGATTTGGACATTTGGGACGAATTGTGTAGGCAACAGAATTAATATTTATATCTACGTACGTATACAAATTATAAAATGACCACTGCAGTGATCAAGACCTATCATTTCCTCTGAGGATTTGATTGGAAACATGAGGGTCCCGATTAACGAGACTCGACTATAGATAATAATTGAATTATTCACTTTTATCTATTTTAGTTTTACATTGATATAATCTGCTGGAAGATTAAAAAATTCCACATGGATGTTAGATTTTCGAATTAATTTCAAATTTTGATTTCATAGAATGCCCAGGAGGATGGTATGGTCTTGAATGTAAACTTCAGTGTTTTGCGCACTGCAAAGACAACGCTTTCTGCAATCACGTGACTGGTCAATGTGACAATGAATGTGCGGATGGATGGAAAGGGACATTCTGTGATGAGCGTAGGTATTTGTAACTGTGTATGTATCTCAGCTTTGACATCTCTTCAGGCAACAATATGCATTTCAGATATGCATAAAAGAGTTTTGTTTTTCTTCGGAGAATTCAAAAAGCTATAAATTCCTGACGGATTTTTGTATACGGTTTGCTTGCCCAAATCATCCCTGTTAGGAGAGGAATGTGGCAACGCTTTTGCAATCAATCTGCAACATAGGTTATTTTATATTTAATAAAAATCAATACCACAAACGCTCCAAGAATATTATCAATTTAGAAATAATCTGAAAAAAGAATTCTTAGAGATTTGTATATACTCATAATAGTGGAAAAAACTAGAACTAAAAACCCTAAGCTTTATACAAACATGCGTTCTATTAATTACTTGATCTTGGATAAGTTGTGATGCTTTGAATTATAACTGTGTGTCATGATTAGTCTTTTGCAAGGTTTTATTCAATTGCAGAGTGTTTGGAAGGGAATTATGGAGTCGACTGTAAATTCAATTGCAGTAGTCATTGTCGGAATGACGTTCCTTTTGACAAACAAACTGGACATTGTGTGACCACTCGGATATTTCGGAAACGAATGTAAGGAACGTTGTAGTGCACACTGTGTGAATGAAAGTGTATCTGACCACGTGGACGGAGTCTGCGCAGACGTTTGTGTAAACGGATATATAGGACATTTATGTAACGAATATAAGGAAATACATATTGTAAATCGTATGTTTCTTGCAAATTAAAGAAGATAAAAAAACAATTTTTCATATGCATTTAAATCATTCATATTTACAACGTGTGGAAATGGATTTTATGGTGAAAATTGCTCTCAAATATGTTCTCCAAAATGCATCGACATATGTCGACACACTGACGGCTCTTGCATCTGGAAAGATGGGCACTAATTGTAGCCAAGGTAATTAGGATACATTATTATTCTTCCTCTATATTATTGTTATTTTAATCTTTGAATCTGTTCAATCCTTACACAATGGCAAAAGATGCGTGTAATAGCATCCCTTTCAATTTTTACGACCCAGAATGTCCACCTGGATCATACGGAATAAACTGTGATGAGGAGTGTAGTTTTCACTGTGGATTTAATGACTCATGCGATATATTTGATGGAACATGTCCCCGGGGATGCCAAGAACCCTATACAGGATCAAACTGCTCACAAACGATCGGAAATTGCTCAAAGTTAACTGATGATTCTGGTAATAGATTTGTATACGGAGAACTTTTCATCCCTCTTTTAATTTTTAAACGGGGCAGATTGTGATGATAATGATATTTCGTTCAAAACACAAGTATGTCCGGGTCAATTTAAATCGTATGCAAATGTGGTATTGAGAGAATAATATGATGCACAAATAACCCTGAATTTTTTTAGTTTAAGATAATTTAAATCAAATATTTTTTTTTTCCATTTCAACATTAAAGACAAACAAGAGTATTTTTTTTTAAAACTCTCCTACTTATGCTATTCAAAATAAATTTCTTTATAGTTTACCCCCTCATCAAATAGACTAAACTCAGTTAACATTTATAACTTCTAATTTTAAAAGCGAATAAAAATCATCGAAATTTTTATGTAATGATGCAGTTGCCCAATTTAAAATTAAAAAGAAGTCGATGCTCTTTGTCTCAGTTTATATAATCCCGTATATTGTTTCAGAAAAAAATTCATGTGTAATAACCTAATTTCTCATTTTCTTATTAAAAAAGGCCTACCTCCTGTTCTCACCAGAAATCCCGTTCCTTCTAATCCTCTGGTCTGGATTCTTGGAATAACTCTGTCTGGTGTGCTCAATTTGTGTCTCATACTGATTATTGGTTGGATACAGTTCAGGTAATTTTGCATCTAACTCTATGCACAATTCTCTCCTCTCTCTCATTCTGCATGTGTGTGTTGGGGGGGGGGGGGGGGGGGTAAGTAAACCATTGCTACGTTTGATATAGAAATTATGTTTTTACTAAGAATATGGTAAATTCTTTCACAAATCAACTTTTCATAAAAAAGATAAGAATTAATCTGAAGATGAAGTGAATGAGATTTATTCATCTTCATTGACATTTCTAAGGAGGAAGTACTTAAGAATGAAGTCTGACACCGTTGCTTTGCAGGATGTGTTAGATTCCAAAAACAACCACTACGATAGAGTAACATCCTCCATTATGCCTGGCTATAAGGGACTAATGGATAACAGAGAAAAAATTGATTATCAGAATGTTACATCAAATTAAATTTAGATGCAGAACAGTAGCTCTCTGGATGGAACAATTCGGCAAGACAAAAGCTGATACAAGCATTGTAAAAGTGCTGCTTTTTTGAAGCACGCTCGATTTTTTTCCAATTGCATTACATGTATACGCGTTCCTCGACCAAAAGGATGTTATCAATTAAATAACCATACAATTTACTCCCAACAACTTTATTTACCATTAAACGGTTTCAAACAGCCCTATAGGGCCTTGGGATGTCCTTTTCATAAAATTGGCAATCTGTGTTATGTATCTACTCGTTTTTTTTTTTTTTTTTTGGTTTTTTTTTTTTGGTTTTTTTTTTTTTTTTTGGTTTTTGTTTTTTTTTTGTTTTTTTTTTTTTTTTGTAAATATACATGTACATATTGTTTTCTTATACAGACAATATTGATAATATTTGAAAAACAACATTATTTTAAAGGCATATGTGTTTTTCTTTTCCGACAGGCCTACTTTAGCACGATCCCATCATGGATACCGGAATGCGATTTCAAAAAATGGCACTCAAAGGCCATATTATACATTTATTAACTGGGCTCGAGAGCAACATGCGTGTTGTCGGTTTTGTCGGACCCAAGAATTAAACTGATTGCCTGAGGCGGTTTGGTTTCCTTATGTTTCGTTATGTTTTCTGATACCTTTTTGTTTTATTAACATACTTGTATCTTGAGCTAGCTTCCATGATTTTAAGTTCCTTTACCCTCACTGCAGCTAAACTCGGTCAATTCTGTCACTGTCGAAAGCCAATGAATGCAGTGTGACGTAGCGGTCCAATATCTCATCGACAGGTCCAATATCTCACTCTGCAGTCAAATATCGATTTTAATGGACCGCTGAAAAAAACATTGGAAATAATAGACTTTATCCAGCATACATTTATGTAGGAAACAATTCTTAAAGGTATAACAAACGGTTGTTTGGACCGCATAAAAGTAAATATACAAACATGATTTAGGAGTAAAATACATGATAAATTAACAATATATTTATTGATATATGATCTCATGAAAAAAATGACTTAAAATTGCATTTTCAATTTTTTTTCTTATTGTGTCCCTTATGTAATTAAAATACATAGCGGGTTCCAGTAAATCTACTACCAAGCCTTTTTTTTTTACTCCTCACTTTTAAATATTAACAGTAGTGAAAGAGAAACTTCAGAAGTACTGTACAACAATATATTCAACCTTCATACAATATATTTGAGAAATGGTGTAAATCAGACGAGAATACTTAAAACCCCCAATGAACTTTTAGAAATTCTGAAATCACAAAATTTTACCAAAATCAATAACTTCAAAACGTAACATCAACTATCCCTCACTATAAATTTTTTTGACATCGTAGACAGCTGCCTTTTCAATAAAAATGGTACTCGTTAATCTACTTACCTTGTCATTGGTTAATTACCAATTAATTTTGAGAAAAAAATATCCTGATTGTACACACAAGTACTCTTTAGTAGAGATTAAAAAGATGTTTGAGTTTCTGATTGACAATATTTATGTTATTCTTGGAAATCACATCTTTCCTCAATCTGTCTCTATCGCAATTTTCATGTAAACCAATTTTGCTCCCCTTATTAGCGAACTTATTTTATATTCATATGAAGCAAAATTTATTCAAGAACTTATACACGAGAAAAAGAAGACACTTCATTTGGTCCTCAATCGATGTTTAAATGAAGCAATGACAAATCATCAATTAACAATAGTTATTTCCATTCATATGCCGACTCGATATATCCCAGTGAACTTGAAATAAAGGCTTACCACAGATCCTGCCACATCTGTTTCATATTTGTATGTTTTACTAGAAAAAGTCCTTAATGATCACCTAACAACAAAACTTTATGATAAACGTGATGACTTCAACTTTTCCATCATCAACTTTCCCTACTTGTGTAGCAATATACCCTTATCACCTGCATAACTGGTTTATAGGGTGAATTCACCATGCATCGGACACCCTCGGACTTCAACAAGTTCTAGCAATATCGCTAATATTATCTAACTTAACATGTAGTATGTGGTTAAAATATAAATGTTTGGCACAATTGTGTGCTTTTTATTGAGAAAATATCCCTAAAAACGAATTTTTTTTTTTAGAGATAAGTCAGAATTCACCAAGGATCGGACAATATTGGCCATGCATCGGACATACGGTATTTAACCAGAACAATATTATATTTTGATCTGTGGGCTTTAAAATTAGTGATATCGAAACATTTTTATCTTTATTTAAAAATTAACCTTCTAGTTAAATTTGAATAACTATTTCAATCCACAAATGTGAAGAAATTTTAGTTCCATCACATCGCAAAGGTTTTACAATGCAAATGATATGGCAACTCGCGCCTTTGTCTCGTGGGTTATCATCATCCAGTTTAAAGAAATAAATTGAGTTCACTTCCAGTAGTCATATATCGATGACTTCTATTTTCACTGGAAATGTTTTTTAAATTTCTATTTCCGTAAAAAAACAGCTGTGATTTGGGTTTTATATGAAAATGGAAACGATTACCTATGCATCGGAGTGTCCGATGCATGGTTTATTTGTGTTCGATGTACGGTGAAATAAACACACTAGTAAAAAACAACTCTAAAAATATTATACAAACATTGAAGTAAATTTTTTGAAAAAAAAATTCTTTAAAATTATCAATTACTGACAAATTTATCGACAACTCTAAAAATTGCAAAATCGTAAAATTCTGGTTACTCCCCTTTGATGATGCAAAATATGATGTAATATTTTATCACTACATGAAAATCTAAATCGGCATTGTTAAAAAGTTTAAATATCCATCTTTAAGACAGAAACAATTAAAAACACGGGGGGACTCATGTTCAATGAAAGTTTATTGCTTAAAGTTGTCCGAAGCAAGGTATGTGTCCAATGCATAGTTAATTACCTTATCTCTCACTTGATTCGATATGAAAGGCCATGTTCCACGGACTAACAATTTCTAAAACGAGACAAGCTTTTGACAAACAAGTTTATGAGACAAGGATATCAACAGTCTCTTTTAGAGTCCACAATTCGCAAGTTATATGGTCGATACAATGACCTCGTCAGCAAATACTATGATAATCTCTCTTTAGGTCGAGTGCTGGCTTAGGTTTTCATACTAATTGTCAGGTAGTTATTTACACAGTGAATTGTCTACGGATTTTTCCGTTTGCCAGATCATGACAATGAACACACGGCGGGTGTGACAGGTCGACAGGGGATACCTACTCCTCCAGAGCACCTGATCCCATGTCTGATGTTTTCAGAGGTCTGTGTTGTGTTGCTCCAAAATTTGTATTTTTTCAATGGAATTTCCGATTGATAACTGTTCGTTATCTTCATATTGCATTATTTAATCTATAATGATGAATGCATTTAATTCTTGTAAGAAATGCTGTATTTTCCTCTTAACAATGTTGGACAAAATAGTAGATTCCCTTTGCAACCAATTTGTTGTAAATGTTTTCTCAATAGTCTTTAATTTCAAATTCACATATTATTTTTTAAAAATTCATATTATTGATATGCATTTTAAGAAATATTAAGGCTCTAAATCTTCAAAAAGGTTCTAGGGTAAAGTATCATAGTAAATCAAAGTATCAAAGTATTTACATGTACTATTGTTTACTATTATAGTAAACTAGAGTTAATTATAGTAAAAATTTTTAGGGTCAATCTTAAGCCTAAGCAAGTTATTATATTGGATTCAAGATTACATGTAAGACTTCGGAATTGACGTGATTGCTAAGCAGTTTCATTGTAAGATTTTCCACAGAGGTCTAAGCATACGTCATAAGAAAATATCAACTACTCCCTTCATAGATAAATCATTCCTTAGAAAAAGTAGTCTTTTAAGTATTTTGTCTTTTTATGAAACTGTTCATGGTAGCTCAGTCGGTAGAGCGCTCACTCCGTGATCGGGAAGTCGTGAGTTCGAATCTCGGCCGCGACTCACCTAAGTCGATAAAAAAAATGGGTAGCAACTGTTCCTTCGCCATGCGCTCGGAACTTTGAAATGGAAGTTGCGAGTCCTTCGGATGAGACTTTAAAAACCGAGGCCCTAGCTGTGTCACGGCAGGCGGTGGCACGATAAAGATCCCTCGCTGCTCAATGGCCCTGAGTGCCGAGTAAAGGTCAAAGTTTGAAGCCCTTCACCGGTATATGGTGACCTCTCTATATGAGTGAAGAATTCTCGAATGGAACGTTAAACAATCAATCAATAAATCTTTTATGAATATGCTATGTATGTAGGTTTATCTTCATTTCAGATTTTACAAAAAATGAATGTAAAAGGATCATTCTCTATAAGGCCGTTTTTCGGCCTACATTGACTTCAATGTTTGAAGTAACATTTTTTCCTTTAAAAACTGCATGAAATAGTAGGTTTATGTTCCAATTTTATAATAAAAATTAATTTGTAATTGATACTACAGAATTTATTGTGATATTATAGAGTAACGTACTATTGTTTCGTAATAGCATTAGGGTAATGGGAAAACTCAAGAGGGTGGGTGTGTTCGAGAACTCCTACACATGTCATAACCACTTCTAGCCAACACAAAAATTTTCATGTACACTTCTTATAAGCATAAAAAGTGACTACCAGATTATGAACATGGTTAAAGGTATGACATATGAATAGAAACTTTTGTTTCATTTTAACAATATTTGTAGGAAAAGCTTATGACTCACAGCAAAGGCTATCATCTTAACATGTAGATTATTTCATATATAATAAACTTTCAGTTAGAGTTCATAAATTTTTGTTGATTTAGCAAGAGTTAATATAAGCCATGCACTTTTACTGGAAATGTGTAAAAATTTTTACTAAATATTCTAAAATCAAAGACCTGGAAATACTCTATGTTATGAAATTACAGATAAAGACAAATCTCATCGAACTGTGTACTAGAAATAAAGAAAAAAAATTATTATAAGGTGTGAGTATGTCATTTATAATAATTATTTTT